ATATTTATATATATGGATGCATATATATCCACACGTATATATACACAAGTGTGTGGGTGTATTTTTGTGTGTTTTCTTCGCGTGTGCTTATATATATATATAGTTATAATTATAAATATAAATCGACTGTTATACCCGTTTTCTTGATCGCGTGATCAATGGTATGCGCGTGCACTCAGATACCTTTTTCCTGTTATATTGACCGATGGCCAAGGGTAATTAGCGTAGAACGGACAAGTTCTAAAGTATTTCAATTTGTATAGGTACGAACTAGAAGAGCGCATATATCAGTTATATCTACCTATGACCAAGGGTAATTAGCGTAGAACGGACACGTTTATCATCTATGGCCATCGTCAGTTTCTTGATTAAAATTCACAGGCCATGTCCTAGAATTTTTTATCTGGATCGCGCTATTAACAGAATCGTGACTAAATAGTATCATCTCCCCAATACGTACAAGTAAATAGTGCTTCTTATATAGGAATACACGGGCTCACGCATACAGCAACACTTGCGTACATATACACGAGAGCTGGTAACCCTATACAGTGAGTCTCTCAGTAACCATCAAGGCTGTTTGTATTCTCTGCAACTTTGGTCAAACTCGTATCGTGATACAATCATTTGCTTTTTCCCATTCCAGGTTTTGACTGGCGTTTTCAACGGAGCGGACATCCGCGCTAACGATCCCACAGACCCCGCAGACCATGTAGTAGAACATGTACTCGACGCTGTAAAGCTAGCCACTGAATTGAATTGAATAATGGTTTATTCATTTGATAGGCCATGAAGCCACAGCAGTTTATAACTAATACAGACAAACGAAAACATGTACATATTCGTATGAAATTTCAAATCTGGTGCGCCTGTGCTCTTGTCGTCGGTTAAATCGCGCAGTTGCACGATCACGCAACCAACATCAGGTGTTCACAAATGTACTGGTTGCGATCGTAATATGCATGCCTTCTGTGGCGTGCATCGTGGTGAGGGGTTTGGATCGAATTCGATCGGTTACTGCTTGTCTACAGATAACTGCAAGCCACCAAATGCATCAACAGCGAGCCAATCAGACGAATTGACACCACCTGCATCAGCAGCATCACAGTTAGATCAGACAACTGATTCTGATGCAATGCAGGAAGATGATACGACACAATCTACGTCTAAGCAAGGTGCATCGTCTGGGGTAAATGTAGCGTCAGATACAAGAGTGAAGAGACTGTCTAATAGTAATAAAAAGAAGGTGGACAAACAAACTGTGTTTACAAAGGTGCGTGCCCTTCCATCAAAGAGAGTTAATCTAACAAAAGACGAGAAAGGTGTCGTCGTGCGCACTATCAAAATAAGTGGATATGACTTGAGCAAGCCATGAAGAGAGAACCTAACTCAGACATGTCTACCTCTATATATGTCCAATTTTGGCCCTGGGCGGAACCTGGACATATTTAGGGGTATGACTGTACTAGAGAGGCTCCTACATAGATACATAATGTTCGTTTTAGAAGGCCATGCAAACTTTGTTTTGCTTTGAGCAAGAAGATAAAAAATAATCCTTCTGCGCATGTATAGTACCAGAGACCCAGACCCATGGCCCGGGGAGATCGCAGATTTTAGATTTTCGCGTCCTTTAGAGGGTCATGTATGTGCTCATGGCTGCCACGCAATTGCAATCCATATAAATACAGAAGCCACACTGCCAGAGCATACACACCAGCCGAACAAACCCACGAAAGAAAAACATTCACTTTATTGTGGTCATCTTTGGTGAGTTTGGGACTGTGTGAAGTGAGTCTGTCCAATGAATGTTTTACATATCAACTTTCTGCATGGTCTGCCGGGCCCCTTTAGTAGAGGGGGCTGGACTGGGTCTGTATGGGGAAGTAAATAAATGGTCGGCTAAATGAAGCGACATATTTCAGAGGGCCCTGCACTCTGACCCTTCTAGTCACGTCATTCGTTAATGGCTTTAGCTTTTTTCCTCGTGCATTTTTGTAGAGGCACATGTAACATGCACGCCTAAATGATGGAAAACACAATGTGGCTAACTGGTCATTTGAGCCGGTGTGTCCCCAATTACGCCCCGCATAAATACAGTCAGCTCCATGTCTAGACTAATCTGAAAGCCCCCTGTTGTTCCAACTTTGTATTCGCATACCCACAGAATATTTTAGTATGAACTTATGAACTGCCCATACGTAGTCCCGTAACCTGATTCCCTCATGGGGCCCCCTGGATGCATTGGACTATCAGTTCCTTTTTAAAAATCATCTGGTCCTGCTTGTGATTGATGTTTCTACCGAAACATACTAATTCGCTATCGAATGGCCTGGCGCAAGCTGAAGCCTTGAGATAAAAGTGAAAAGCATTGGACTTCGATTAGGTCTCACGATAATCAACTGTACGTGTATAAAAGCTACTGGGAATGGCAGTAGTCGGTCAGTTCATTTATGAGAAAGTCAAATAATTCAACATGAAGTTCTCTACCATTTTCACCGTCGCGGCCTTGGCCGTTGCAGTTAGCGCCAAGTCATACAATCAAGAGATAAAGGATTCACTGGAAAGTCATACGACAAATCCAAGGTCTGCTGTGAGTATTCGGGTCACTGCGGAAACCTATCCAAATGCACGGAGAGCTTCTGCAGTGCCCCTAACAACTTTGGAAAGTCTGGCCGCCCTGATAACTCTGAACAGCCTGGCCGCCCCCACAGCTCTAAATAACCTATCCGCCCTAGTCGCCCTAGCCACAATGCTCGATCCAGCAATGGCAATAACGGTTACAAGATCACTTGCGCAGAGAAGCATAAGCGTAATTCTTATGCTCTTGAAGATCCCATCCAGGAGGAAAAGGAGTGCCGCCAGTGGTCTGGCAAGTGCGGTGAATATAATAAGTGCACCCAGTCATATTGCGAGATTTCTAACAGCTAAAACCGACCTGACGACTCTGACCGCCATGACGGCCCCGACAGCTCTGGTCACTCTGGCAATTCTGACAACTCTGGCATGCCTGGTATGTCTGGCATGTCTGACAGAAAACCCTAAAAACCCATGTCTGGCAGCTCCGGTAATTCCGACATATCTGGGTCTGACAGCTCTGGCAATTTTGACAACTCGGGCAATTCTGATACCTCTGGTAGCTCTGTTATTACTGGCAGCTCGGGCATGTCTGGCAATTCTGACAGTTCCGGCATGTCTGCCAGCTCTGGCAGTTCTGACGGCTCTGGCATATCTGGCAGCTCTAACATGTAACAGTAACAAGCCCAAATTACACTTGCGCCGAGCAGCATAAACGCAGCATCGGTTGCATCCGCAAGATATCAAGGAGTGTCGTTTTACGACTACGGTTTCTTTGTAGAAACCAGTCATGCGCTTAGAAAATTCTCGCTCGTACGACCTCTTCAATTGATCAGACATACAATTTTGGGTTTCCTAAGTAGTTCAGCGATACAAACCAATGAAAAATAAGAATTATTCGCCACTTAATCCTATTTTACTCAATTAATGCAATCACTAGCCACTTA